CTAAAATCATGATAATAATTATACACAAAATATAGCAGAATAAATCGAATACTTGGTTGTTGATGGGATGGAGAAGATTTATCCGGTTCGATGCGAAAGTGAATCACGGGTCTTAAAACTCTCCAAATACACGTTCTTGCTCATCGGATAAACCTTCTCTTTTCCAACATCAACATCAACCATGTCTTTTTTTTTCTTCACTGTTCATGATCGCCTGAATACAGTCATACCACTTTGCTATTTGACATACTTCTTATAAGACTTATATACCAACAATCACAATCTATTCTGCTACTGTTCCACATTTTTTTAACTTTTGTAAACATGACCGTAGGTGTAACTAACTCAGCGCTAAAAACAGAACTTACGAACCATCTATTGGGCCGCGCCCTCGTATAAATATTAAAATTACGAAAATGGCATTAGAAAACAACAAAATTAATTAGCATTACAATAAATTTAATATAGAACTTAAGTACATATATAATAAATGAAAATCAATCCTAAGCAATATACACTATTTAAGTACATGTAAATATTTTCTGTCCTGATTATCTTCTCTCCTTTAATGTGGGAATTTATTTCTTAAGAATCATCTTGTCTAATTTTCCCATTCAATGTGTTGTTGCTAAAATTTTCATGTAAATCAAGTTGAAAGCTAAAAATATCTTAAACCAATATGTACTGTTTTCTTTTTGCATCAATCTTGTACAATGTGACAATGTTATCTATATAAAATATGGCACATGTATTTCAACACAAACAAAAAGAATAAGTCATTAATCCAACAACTTATTATCATTTATAACTTGGAAGTTCAAATATTTTATATGATTTCTTTCTCACAAATGTCCGATTTTTTATCTTTAAATTACAATCTAATTTAAAATGGACATGATAATATTTCAAATCACAATCGCAACGAATAGCTTCCTTATTCACTCAAGGGTCGGGGGTGTTAAAAAAAAGAAATTTGTTATCTCAGATTGAAACCGGCAAAGTATGTGCATTTACCGAAGAAAAACTTGGGATACAAGTATCTCAGAAAAAAATGTTTAATGACCTCCAGACAGAGACACAAAACTAAGAATACAATATATATTAACAATTTAATTGCTAAAAATAGAAAAGTAAACATCTTATTCAGTATAAAACAACAACAACAAATAAATGTTTTAAATATTGGGAAAGAGTATAGTCACATTCATTCTGGCACTCTGAAAATCAATATGTCAATTAACGGTCAAAACATAGATATAATTTAGCTACAAATTATTTTAATATTAAACAAGCACAATATTCCAATTTCTTCTACATGAAAGGATAGAAAAATCATTATTTCTTTACTCCCGATTGCAATTTTATCATTTCTTATTTTCGAGAATGACAATAATATGCAGTAAATGTTAAAGCAATTCATTAAAGGCCCATTGATTTTCAAAATAATAAATTTTTTATTCTTAGCGAACTTATACAATTCCAAATACATATTGGCTTCGTTTCCTATATTAATGAGTAACTATTGAAAAGTGTATTAAATTAATATAACTAGTTAAATTGAAAATCTGCGGAAACGAGAAAAGTTATAGTCAATAATTTATGTAATAAGATGTCAAATCACAAGTTCATGAATCTTTAATGTAAGGCATTACATTAAACATATTTTTTTCTCATTTTTATCACATCACAAACAGTCGCTAGAAATGTGCCATTAATTTTGGAATAATCTCATGCAGATATTTTAATTAACCAAAGTAGGAGAAAATACGGAAATTGTCTTTAAGCAAAGCACAATAATTAGTGGTAAAGTGATATAAAGATTTCTACGACAGACTTAATTCATAGCTATCGAAAGGAACGGGATCATAAGGGAAAAAATGAAATGTTCGCTTTTGATCACTTCTTCAACTACCGGCGGTGACAAACAGCAATTTAGACCAGTATGACAGAATCACATATTCATATAAAATAAAATGTGAAAAAATAAATAAATAAAAAAGAATAAATGGATCGTTTTCCACGACGTCTACATTAATGATTAAAGTGCTACATTAATGATAAAAGCGTCATGCAATATGTTATGACTTCATTTAATATTTACAAATAAAAAGTAAGAGATAAAAATACTTGATAAAATTCATGGCGACCTTTCTTTTCCTGTGCAATGTAAAATAAGTTTGCTGTTGTAATATTTAAAAAAAAAATGACTAAGAATAAAATATAAAATATTTCGTATTCAGTATTCAGATATCATGTTAATGAAAACAAAATCTAGTAAACAAGTGATGATATTATTTAGTTTTAAGACAATTGTTATTGTTATTTGCCTGGTTTTAAAAAATTTAATGCTGCTCTTGGGTGATTGACAAAAAAATTGCTTTCCTTATCGTTAGCCGTATAATAATATTAATAAAGTCGGAAGTAAGTTTCGTTTAAATCGGTGGTTTGTTGAAGCCTTTGAAGTCTGTATACTTCCGAACCCAGCCCGTGTTGTTTTTTTTATCTTTGGACCTCAAGTCTGTTGAGTTTGAAACCATTTCCAATGTTGATAGTTACACGTTTCATCTCTTGTAACATGGTAGACATCTCTACTGATGTAATGTCAGTAATTTTCTTGTCGTTGGCCAAAACCTTCAAAACGTAAGAAATAACTTCGAAATTTTAAATAGATTTGAAACGGGGAACTCCCAACATTACATGATAATTGTAGCCTCGGTGTGTTGAATCTGTTCATGAGAAAAAAGACAAAAAGTTCCAAATCCCCAATGCCCATTGTACTTGTTGAAGGATTATTTTGTTTACAAAACTAAAAATGCTGTAATCAATGATCCTAGATGGGAACAATTTGAAATTCTATATTTAAAATACATAATTATATATCTATATTAATGAAGTACTATTTAAATAAACATAGGAGAGTATAATTATTTTTTTCTTACCTTTATTCCCCAATCGTGGATGACGATGGTCAGTTTGCATTTAGACAGTGGACAAAAAGTTTCCCATTCGAATGAAACAGGTCCGTCTTTCTTAGAAGTCGAAGCAAAAAGAAATTCATTCCTATACTCACTTATCCTGGACAACCATAGAAGAGAAATTAAATGAGTAAGAACTGGATATTTAATACATTATCGATATCGAGAAAGCAATTTACTAATACAATATGGCTAATGAATTCAGTTTTGCTTATTAGTAAAAATTACAATTATTTCTGAAATACAAAACACTGTTAGCATGCATAGCAAATTACTCCTATATTTGTAAATCTTAGTATTGAACAAAAGCTTTCACTGAATAGTGACTTATGCCCCCGGAAGGAAGCTTTGACATAAAATCCGCAAAATGCCATATGCCAAAATACCAAACCGCCTTGAATTATATCATTCCTAAAATTTCATTAATTCCATTAATGTAGGAGAAATAGTCTAAAGAAATTTTACTAAAACAAGATGTTACTATTTATAGCTCTGGCCACCATTTTATGCAGCGGAGCAGAACGTGCCGGCGATATGCACAACTAGGGATAATACTGATCAATTCTGTGAAGTTTCATTGAAATCTGACCAGTTTTAACCTGTGAAAGCCAGACGGGATTTCTCTTTTTATAGCTTTGTGACATCAGAAAACTGGACAATTTACAGCTCTGGTGGCCATTTTGGGCAGCGGAGCGATACGTGCCAGCGATATGCACAACTAAGGATGAATATGATCAGTCCTGTTTTAATGAAATCCCCCACCGCATTAGATGATAAAGCGCAGACAAGATTGTTCTATTTATAGCTCTGGCGGCCATTTTGCGAAGCGGAGCAGAACATGCCGGCGATGTGCACAACTAGGAATGGTACTGCTCACGCCTGTGGAGTTTCACTGAAATTTCTCCTGCTGTTTTGGAGTTGAAGTGCGGACAAGATTTTTCTATTTACAGCTCTGGCGGCCATTTTGTGCAGCGGAAAAAAAGGTGCTGGCGATATGCACAACTAGGTATGGTACTGATCATTCCTGTGAAGTTTCACTGAATTTCCCCCTGAGGCTTTAGAGATAAGCGCGGACAATATTACAGGACGGACGGAAAGACAGCCATGACAGTACTTTTACTATATGCCGCCCTTCGGGGGAATAAAAACCAACATGAAATTGACAAAGAAATATAGTTATTGTTGATATATGATGTTATAATATATTACACATTTCAAAGATAAAGAAATAAAAGAGAAGAAAAATTACCAAAACATAATCCTCCTCTCACCTCCGCTTGTTGGACATGTGTTTTGACAGTCATCAAAAGTAATTTGGCTTAAATAAAAACAATTCATTCTGAGAAAATTCTTTGCTAAACTAAATATTTTTAATGTATATTGCCCTGCCAAATGGAATATGTATATATATTTTACTTGGTTAAAATCTGTTCATCGGTGGAGCATAATTTGCCATTACCAGAGAACGCTTAGGCCGACAAACCTAGTGGTAGGAATGGCAAGTGAATCACCATAGGCTTGTTATTTACAGACTGGTTAAAAGACAATGTGTTCATGGCCGCATAAAATCATTCAAAGCTTGCCAAAACATCCTTTAACTAAAGTCTACTTTGACCTGCAAATCCTAAGACCTAGCTTGGTAATTAGCAATGACCAATAATTCACACCTTCTAGTTTCGTTTAATTCACTTTAACCAAAAACAAATCGGCTTTTGATTGTTTCTCTGTAGATTTATGTCTGTAGTAACTTACATTTATTTGATCATGCAATTACAGTTGATTTTTAAATAAGCATCTAAGCCACCGGCCAATACACATAAAATCATAAACACATAAGCATCTTGTCATAACAGCTTGTTTGGGTAATAGTACATTACAGAATATGTATGTTTTCATAAAGTTGTATAAAGTACATGTAGATCATTTACTGTATGCAACGTAATGGTGCATATTAAGTTCTTTTAATATTCATTTGTTTTTACCGTATCGGTATGTTACAGCATTAAAATTATTTTTTACATATAGGTGGAACTATTGACATTATAATTCATGAAGTATGCATTGATGGAACATTGAGCGAGATATATCAAGCTAATGGTGGAAACTGGGGCGGTACAACGGTTGATAAAGCTTTCCAAGATTTTTTGACAGGAATTGTTGGAAAAAATGTAATGAAGAGATTTCAAGATGAACACAAAGACGATTTCCTTGACCTTCAAAGAGAGTTTGAAGTAAAGAAAAGGTCTATCAAGCCAGATCTTAAATCGAAAGTAAAACTTAAAATACCTCTTTCGCTGTCTGATATTTATAAAGATGTAAACTCAAAAAGCGTAATGGAAAAAATTGAGGAAGATGAGCAACTTAATGGAAAGGTGAAGTTTATGGCAGATAAGATTTTGTTTGATAGCAGTCTTTTTAAAAACCTTTTTAGCTTCACAACCGATCATCTTACAGAACATTTGAAAAATATTCTACACGAAGAGACAACAGCAAATACCAATACAATTTTAATGGTTGGTGGGTTTTCAGAGTCCCCGATGCTATTTGAAGCAGTAAAATCTTCATTTGTTGATAAAAATGTTTTACTGCCTGAAGATGCAGGTCTGTCGTTTCTAAAAGGGGCAGTTATATATGGACATGATAGAAAAGACATCAGTGTCAGGATCAGTCCATATACATACGGTTATAAAATGTATGATTATTATAACCCACTAAAACACCCAAAAGAGAGAATGTTCATTGCCAAAGATGGTCAAAAACTCGTTCGTGGTTGCTTCGAAATATTGATAAGGAAGGGTGAAAAATGGCACCTGGTAAATTTTCAAATGGTAAAAGTGCTGAACCCTCTAAATCTGATAGATATTTACTAAAATTATTCGCATCAAAGCGTGCTGATCATTTATTTGTTGATGAACCTGACTGTTTTAAAGTTGGAGAATTACATGTAGACTGTACGGACAACGAGGGAAATGTCGGGGGAACTTTAGTACAGATTATGTGTGGTGGTACGGAGTTCGAAGTTCAAGTTATTCATAAAACAACACTAAAAAAGACAAAAGCTACATTCAATTTTCTAGATTGAATGCATTTCGTCAAAACATTTGATTGACATAATGCAGTTAACGTTTGATATAACTGAAAATGAGCTAGAAATGAATATCACATAGTTAATATATATAGAAATATAAGAGTTTGAATAGTCAGATAAAGTTATTCCAAATTGCCTAATACGCATATACAGACGACCTTTCCCTACAAATGTAAAATCAATGTTCCAATCATACAATTACTATTTTCCTCTTTTGTAAGTAATGAAAAAACATTTTTTAAGCTTGAACAACCGGCATTTTTGTCTGATTTTATTTTTTGAATATGAATATAACTCTTGAAAATTAAACGATAAAATCAAAAGGAAAGATACATACATATTTCTATCATACATGTACTTTTGAAGTATTATTTTTCAAAATTTATATAACGATATTTGAAGCATTTATATAGCTTTCGTTTTGGTTTTGTTATTAATAAGTAATGATTCCACTGGTCGGGGAGCACCAACCGGACACTTCTTTAAACATGTATCCTTTCATATTTCATAATTTTAAAGCTAAAGCTAGAGATCTGAAAATTCGACACATTACAGCTAGGTTCTTCTCCTAACTAATGGATTGTTTTGTGTATTTCTGATTGTGTTGACACTTATATCTGAGGCCTGTGAAAGAGGGTATTAAACTAACCTTAATTGTCCACATAACAGTACCATGTGTCCGGACAGATATGTCCATGATGCTGATTTAATTCAATAACAGTTTTGGTGTTTTAATTTTTTATTTTAAACTTGATATAAAATATTTCAGCAGTAAATGCTGAAGTTTTGGATATTCTATCATTCACTCTGCTAATGATAATAGCTAATATAAGATGTCAGGTATTGCACACTTGACGTCCAAATGTTCAATGACAACGTTCTTGAAAAGTCATTAAAATATTACCGTTTACGAAAATTGAAATCATTTTTATACTTAATTATAGAACAAACATGCAACTATGGTTGATATTAAAGCGTCTGATAGATCAACAATCACTGAAAAAATCAAAAACTAAATCAGTAATATTACATAAAATGAATGTTAAAATTACCAACAGGTTTTAAAATCCCCTTCTTGCATTCGTCTGATTAAAAATAAATTGAATGACGAATCTTGGAAATTGCAACGTTTTAAGGTTTATAGAAAACACATTTACTACTATGTCCAATTTATTTATGGTCCACACCCCTTACCTTACACCATTGTGGAAATAGACATAGTGATATGCACAAGGAAACTTGAAATCATATACCCACTTTCTATCTAGTGTATGGTAAAAAACATTTTTGTGTGACAAAATTTTTCTTTAAAATTATATTTTAGGCCTTGTTTTAACATGGAAAAACGCAATTTTGGGTAATTTCAGGAATTTTGATCATTTTCTGTTAATGAAAAAATTCTACAAAACAACAATGTTTCTTCAAAATTATATGTAAGGCCATGTTTTAATATATAAAAACGCGATTTTGGATAATTTTAGGTAATTTCATCATTTTATGTTAATGAAAAAAAAATCTACAAAACAACAATTTTTCTTCAAAAATATATTAGACCATGTTTTAACATGGAAAACGCAAATTTGGGTAATTTCAGATATTTTCATCATTTTCTGTTAAGTCATAACTCAATAAACACGCCTTTTAACGCCTATTTCACATCCCCTTTTTGTTGTCGCAAATGGTGAAAAATGCCTTATTTAGGCCCCAAACACTTTTTTGTTTGAGAAATGTTGTTTAAAAAAGTGACTACTTTTTCGGCGCCGCTCCCTATCCAGAAGATACATCAGGGGGTTGCCAGAAGGGGGATGTGGCCCACTAATGTTTGGGGGTTTTAAAGGGGCGGTTGTCCCCCTCATCGCCAAAACATTTTGGACTTGTGAAGGGCTAAAAATGATCACAGGTCGATCATAAGGTAATGTGTAACCAACGCTGAAAAGCCTTTGACTGTATCTCAATCCATTGAGAAGTTGCTGCTTTTAAATCAATTTTGATGGAAAAAAAATCTACAAAAATAGTGATTTTTGGCAATTTTGAGAAATCTCCTTGTTGCCATGGAAACAAGAAATTTAAGACTGAGCATGTCGTTACAAAGGCAATGGTACAGTTAACATTTGTGCCAAGTTTAATTTAAATAGTTTAATTAGTACTGAAGCAGTTTTTTTAGTTTTATAGCAATTTGAATTTGAAACGGGAGACTTTTCACAAAATGCTCATGCAGTAATGGGTTAAGTAAACCGCCACTATATTGTGTATTATCGAACTATCACTCTTTTGATGACAATCCTTTAGAAACCGTTATGTTTAATGACATTTGCATGATTTTGTTTGTTTTGGGTTTTACGTCACATCGACACAGTATAGGTCATATCGCGACGCTCCAGCTTTACTGGTGGAGGAATACCTCCGGTGCCCTTACGTGCATTATTTCAGGCACGAACGGGCACCTGAGTAGAACCACCGACGTTCCGTAAGCTTGATGGATAGCTTCCTCACATGAAAGAATCCAAAGTCCTTGTCGGGATTCGAACCCACAGCGGTAAGGGACAAGTGGTTTGAAGTCAACGACCTTAACCACTCGGCCACGGACGCCCCTGACATTTGCATGAAAGAAGTATGTTGGTCAAATAATAAGCACAGTCAATACCCCTAGTTATTGTACAATCATTTACTTAATTTATCTACCATGTCCAATTGATATATTGCATTTAATAATGTTGTCCATTTTTATAATATCATTCAATATCAAGGGCATTTAATTGAAAATTCATGTAGGAAATGTCTGAAAACAAATCTACATCAGTAACTTTCTGACAACCAGTTTCATGATAAAGCATTCATTTGTATAAAATCGAGTATTTTATTTTCAGATGCGGGCGGGGGACATTCCAGGGTCAGTATATACTTCGTTGAATTAAATTAATAAAATTCTTGCTGGGAATGCCGCAGAGGAGATGAAGTTGCGACGTTATTTTTTTTTCTATTATATTTTTTTTATAAGCTGACCCTGTTAACCTTCTCTGTTAGGCTTTTCTCGTTAATAAATTGCTTTTTTCTGCATTTATCAAATGTTTACTTTGTCCTTGATGTAATTTTATAGCAATGATTTTTAAATCAATATTATCATAATGTATGTGATCAAAGTAAAAAAGCAAATATGAACAAACTGAAAAAAATCAAGAAAACAAAACGGAGCCTTTCAGAATTGAATAAAAATTACAAACAGGACAGAAAGGGGGGGGGGTAATAAAATATCCTAAATTTTACAGAAGAAGAATTTATTATGGATAGCTTGGCGACTTTAACAACAAATTATAGATATAAAAGTGTTCTAGAAAATGCCCTACTTTGTTTAAACAGTCTCCCCTTTCTTATTCCTCGTTATTTAGTTTGGGACATTTAATGTGTCGGCATGGTAAATTTTCTATTCACCAGATTTGCTTGGCTTGTCTTAGTAGTAGCAAAGTCGTCTCCCTTTTAATAATATAACCCTTTGTACAACAATTAAATCTAGTTTGTGAGCCATTCGGAACTGCCTCGGCCATTATCTATAATAACTGACGGAAAGGGCCGAGTAGTTGCGATTGGTTTGTGAGCATAAGTTTCGAATTGGCCAGGGTCGAATTTACATATAAGAAACACATCTGAAAATAAATCAAATATCTGAGCTTATAAATAACTATACATGCTATATTTGAAGTTTCTGCGTTTATAATTGTCATTTAAAAATTGGGAACAATTATGGTGTTGCTTTTATATTTTGAGAGAGAACCTGCGATATTTCATGATAAACAATGTTAAAATGCCTGCCTTCTTTAGTGAAATTAATTATGTCATTCAACATTGAAACCTCTGAACATGTTTTGTGTCAATGTTAAATGGATAACGTTTCGGGGCCCTAATTTTTTTAAGATTCCTAATTTACAAGGTTAGCACCTGGATATGGCTGATGATTTTTAGTGAGTTGGGATGGGACAGTAAATGTCATGTTTATGTTGTTGTTTTTTATAATGTCAGACGATATACCAAAAAAGTTGATAGAGTTTTAGCATCATATAACGAACTTTCTACCGAAAATGCTTAGAACTCGACCTATTATTGAAGTAAGAGATCATTCGTGCATAACTTTGCCATCGCATGTCAGCAGCGCAGAGCTCAAAATTCCCTTCCGGACAACGTCTCTAACAACGGGACGTGTGCATTTAGCCACACACTTACGATTAACTTATTTTGTTAGTGATCGCACTGGACTTACATTTCAATACCATATTTCATATTTGAGCCGTGCCATGACAAAACCAACATAATGTGTTTGCGACCAGCATGGATCCAGACCGTGCAGGCTGGTCTGGATCCATGCTGGTCGCAAATGCATTACGTTGGTATTGTCATGACACGGCTCATTGTGCTATTATTGGCAGTTTTTGCCTAATCAGATGTTCTACTCAGATTATTAAACACACGAAATAGCTCACTTCTTGTGACAATGATTTGTGCCCGATTGCAATGAATTGTTGTCATTCTCTAAGCAGAAGATCTAAGCTGTTATACAAGACACAACATATAATTTTTGGCGAAGCATTTGTGCCACAGTGATCATTGTTTCACAACCATTATCATCCGTTCCTTGCAAAAATGTTAGCATCTAAATTTACGTTGAAATACACACGAAAACGCGATCATTTATAAGATACACTTTGTGACAGTCATTTAAGCTCGATTGTAAGA